CAGCTGCAATCTACGTATTTCTGAAGCTAGTTCTGCAAAAATATCAGTACAGCCATATGTAGTGCAAAGTGTGGGTCAACCTTTCCCCTTTCCAGGATGAGTGTCAATACTTCTCCACATCACAAGTGGAGCAAGTTTTGTGGTCACAATGAATGTGGTCCACATCCAACTTTACATTGGGAGTTCTATTTGAAATGGCAAGATATCAATATATCAATATATTCATAAATGCTTTGGATACTGGCATGGAGACACACTTATAGAGTACGCTTACAAAGTTTGTGGATGATACAAAGCTGAGAGGGGTTGCAAGCACTTTGGAGGACAAGCTTAGAATTCAAAACAATCTTGACAACCCAGAGAAATGGTCTGAAATAGACAGGATTAAATTCAATAAGGACAAATGCAAAGCATTTAGGAAGGAATAATCAATTGCACAAATAGAAAATGGTAAATGGCTGCCTGGAAGGAGCACTGAAGAAAAGGATCTGCGGGTTATAGTGGATCACAAACTAAATATGAGTCAACAATATAATACTGTTGCAAAAAAAGTGAACATTCTGGGATGTATTAGCAGGAGTGTTGTAAGCAAGTCACAAGACCTCAGCTGGAGTACTGTATCCAGTTCTGGGCACCACACTTCAGGAATAAGGACAAATTGAAGAAAGTCCAGAGGAGAGCAACAAAAATGATTAAAGATCAGAAAACATGACCTATGAGGAAAGATGGGAAAAAGTGGGTTTGTTTAGTCTGGATAAGAGAAGACTGAGTGGGGACATAATTTTTTACGTACTTGAAGATTGCTATTGTTATAAAGGAGGGTGATAAATTGTTCCTCTTAACTACTGAGGTCAGGACAAGAAGTAACGAGTTTAAATTGCAGCAAGGGAGATTTAGGTTAGATATTAGGAAAAACTTGCTGTCAGGGTAATTAAGTACTGGAACAAGTTACCTAGGAAGGTTGTGGAATCTCCCATATTGGATGTTTTTAAGAACAGGTTAGACAAACACACACCTGTCAGCAATGGTCTAGATGACAGTTAGTCCTGCCTCAACACAGGGGACCGGACTAGATGACCTACTGAGGTCCCTTCCAACCCCACATGTCTATGGTTCTATATCTGCTCAAGGCTCCAAATAAACATGACAAATGAACAAGCCAAACATGCTCAAAAGAAGTTATGGTAGGTGTCTTTTAGCAAAGTCTGCTTCCGCTTCCCCTAGTGTTTAAGAAAAAACAACAACAAAATACAACAACTTGAGTGTTGAAAGTCTTATCTGCTTTCCACTGCATTGAATGTAGCTCGCGTGCTACATACAAGCAGGTGTGACAATAGTGTTACTAGTATTTAAACTAGTCCTCAGTTTAAGACCACCCCAGAAAACTGGGCAAGTAGCAACCTTTAAATTCTTAAAGAACTTCACAACACATTATTCAAAGAATCCTCCTTCCCAAGCTACAGAGCTACTTCATCCTCAGGTCTGGAGAAGCCTCTGTTGACCTAGTGCCCCTATTCCTTGGGATCGGGAGCCAGATGGCCAGTGAAACCTCTATTCCAGTCTAAATTTGCTTTTGCAGATATTCATTAAACAAGAAAGTAAAATCCTACATTAATATAATATTAAATCTGCAAATATAGACCCCGATCTAGCAAAGCACTTAAGCACCTGAGTAATCTCAATGAAGTCAAAGGGACTACTTATGTGTCTAAATTTAAACATGCTTAAATGCTTTTCTGGCTCAAAGCCTTAAGCACACAAGTTACATAATGAACGTTAAAGTCTGTATAGCAAGGTTGATTGGCTCACATTCTGTCATCACACAATTTTGTCATTTTTTAAAAACTTACATAATCATTTTTCTTGAGACCTAGCCACATAGGATACTGTCATTTTAGAGTTCAATTGATTTCTTAACTTACATAAAAAAGGGCTGAAACTAGATACTGAAATAAGGCATGAGTGAAAGCAGTGTGTTATAAGGAACATCACACTGCAATCTTAACTTTAGCTTTGGCTGTCATTAAAGTGGTAACACAGGTTTGTCTGATCCCAAACACAGAAGTAGTTATAAATGATTAATGTATGCATTTCAGAAGCACTGTCACTACTTCCCCATGATTGTCCATCAGCAAATGCAGTAATATACTTAATACAGATGTCATACTGTGCTGAGCATCTAAGTCATCTCGTCTAATTAGGTCAGAGCTATTCATAGTTAGATCAGAGCTGTTCTTTTTATACCACACCAGAAATCAACCAATATGGCTAGTGATGCCTTACATTTGCTAAACCTTTCCAAATGCTGTATACTGGGGATAACTGCATTGTTTTTATAGGAAGATTAAAATATTAAAAAGGAGACATTAAGTATTGGTACTCCAGGTAGAATTTATTAATGCTCTTTCCTGTCAAGGAAAAACTAACGGGTATTCACAGAGCTGCCAATGAAAACTGGTAACCTTTCACAACCAAAATATAAAATTTGTATATAGTTGGGAGTAATAACCGGTTATAACTCAAACTCATCTTGGACCTGTAACTAATTCACTTGCAAAATGTTAAACACATAGGATTATTCTAATAAAGACAAGACTTCGTCAGTGCTAGTTTTCTGATCTGTTTCTTTTAATACCGATTTAGCAGTAAGAGAGAAGATGGGTAAGAATATAGTCACTTTTCAATAAGAGCAGAACTCAGCAAACAGGAAAGATGTTTTGAACGTGTGCTTTCAGTTGACCAAATTATTCCACTGACATCTGAAAATCACCTGCAGATATTAAAGTGAAGTGTCTTATGTTTTGACAGAATTTTTAAAACCACTGTCTATAGGATTCGTGTATCAGATTAGACATGGAATGTTTGTTTAATGGGTTTGGAGAAGTTCTCAGTTAGGATAGGACCCCAAGCCCATTAAATCAATGGGAGTCGTTCTACTGACTTCATTGTACTGGGATCAAGCCCTTTCATAGCTGCTAACAATTAAAAATGAAGGTAAATATGTGCAGCATTTACCCAAACACTATTTTTCAGTATTTTCTGTAAATTATGTACATTATTTATTGTATAAATGTATCCATATCATTGGACCTGATCTTGCAGTGCTAAAGCAGAAAAAAAAAAGACAACCTAGGGAGAAGGTTGATGTAAGCACTGAGATATGTTTTGGACTTGTTTGCATTGTGTTTAATAAATGGAGCCTGGATGCTGATTTGGGATTCTGGGCACGATGCTAACATTACATAATTTATGGAAATGGAAATCAATGGAAATGTTGCACATGAAAGGACTGCATGATTGAGCCAACTGCCTATACCTCTATTACACAATGGTATAGAAAAAAATTAAATATAACCACAGGTCATAGTGAAGTTGACTTTTGTTTCCCATACTATACAAGAAGTGACCACTACAGCAACAGTCATTTTAATAAAAGTTCTAGCACACAGACATTTATTGGCCAATAAAGGCATAAAACTAAGGAGATGCATAGTACATGTTATAGCTATCCAAGATGCTTATGAGTACTTTTAGTTTCTTACCATTCTTCTCTATATAAAGGCTGAAAGGAGAGACAACTGAGACCTCTAACTGGCAATGCTTTGTAGCTGAAAACGGGCAACTTCAGTCAATTGTTTAGACTATATTGGGCACAAAACCTCAACTATTTTATTGTTTCTAAAGGCACACTTTATAACCGGCAACTTTCAGCTTCAAGAATGTCCAGTAAATAAACTAATGTACTCCCACAGCTGACTAGATATTGGATAAAAACGGAGGGTGGTCTGTATTAGAAGATAAGAATTAACTAGCAAAGTAGCATACCAGGAATGAAATAGTTTAAAGATATTTCACAGAGGTATACAAAGCAACATCTGCAGGAATACTCTGGATAGCATGTCCTAAATGACCATTTCTATACATGCTCTATTGACAGCTTACGTCAAGTATCCAGCAACATTAAATTCTACTTCAACTATGATTCTGGAGTTGATCGAAAATGCGTGGAAGTGCAAAGCATAATCACCTTCCAATGTTTTTCTTAATCCAAGTTACAAAAATAATAACCTTAATGCCAGGAAAAATTCAATGCAGTTGTGGCATGAAGTAGTTCCTCCAGTAGTTCAAAGGCCAAAATAAATTGATGTAAAGTATATAAAAGGAAATATCTGCCACAATTGGCACATTTTAAAGCCGAACTTCTGCATTCTTTATACAGACAGGATTAGACAGCAGGGAAATCAAATGCTTAAAAGCACAGGTATTTGTTTTCCTGGTAGCTGTTTCTGACAGCTCCAAGAAGAGTATTTAGAAGTCAGTTACCTATTTACCTAAAATAGTTGCAGGCCTTACTGGGCAATATTTTTTTAAAATAGCAAAACTATTTTTAATTGAGTTGTTAAATTTTTAATATAAGACGACTCAGCTAGTTCACTTTTACACATGAAACAAGATCACTAATCATTCTGCATGCCATTTTAAAAATCACTCGAAGGAAAGCAAAATTTCTCTGTTTTTCTATTTGAATTTACATCAGAGCGACCACTTCAAGAGGAATTCAATCGGTGCACCAAAATCTTTCGGTCTTGCACTTGAAACACTATCATGGTAATAGGATTTTATGAAGGACCTAATTTAAAGCATGCAGCTTCTAATATGGATGATAGACAATTCTAGATGTACAATTTGAAAACTATTAAAGAAATCATCTAGTGAATAACAAAAAAAAAGTTAAAAATGCTTTTAATGTTCTGTCAAATAGCATAGTTTTACTATAGCCCTGCAAAGAACACAAGTGTAATATTAATATAATACTTCAAATAAACAGTGACTTGCAGCCCACATCAACTGACATTTAGAAAATTGTTTAGGTCAACTGAGGTGAGCCATCTTGCTCTTGTCTTCCAGGGAAGAGTCCTGTGGATGTTTTCTATAACACCATAATAGTAACAAGTATAAATGGCAGACATTTTTTTTTAAATGAGGAATTCCCTTAGAAGTCAGCTGAAATGTTATTTAATAAAAGTTTGATTCCATATCATTAATTTAACACAGACATAAAAAAATTACAAATGAATATATTTTGGGCCTGATCTTGCTTCTATCAAAATCAGTGGCAAAACTCCCATTAACTTCAATACAAGGATCTTTAAGGACAGGCCAAAATACTTTTTTACTTGTTAGGATCAGATGTTAGGCATGTGGGTGAAATCCTGGCCCCAATGAAGATAATGGACTTTCCTATTAGCTTCAAAGGGGCCAGGATTTCACTTTGTTTTTCAAACAGCAGTACAGGACGTCTAATCACCTAAATCATGAAATCCTTATAGTGCATTAAATTTTTGTGATGTCACCATCCCTTGTAAAAGAAATACAGAACTCAGTCATAAGGTCAGAAAAACAATTTTCAGCTATTTTGTTTTAAAATATATTTGTCCTTTAACCCTGTATTTTATATAAGTGTGTGTGTGTGTAGGCATGTGCTGTTCCGGATCTGGGATGTTAAATGCTATTTTTAAAATATACGTTCATAATTAAATGCAAACAAAATGTTTTAGTGCCTATAAAACATTGCCTGGGTCAAGTTACTTGATATTTAACCTTAACATTGCATTAGCAGTAGGTTTTTTACCTGTGACTTCCTAATTAAAGAAATACAGCTCTTGAGTTATTTGGCTTGTGAAGCGGATAATGATCCTGGATTTATAATAATGACTTCTGGGTCACCAATTCTCTTTGCTTATTAACTCAGCAGACTCTCTGCCCCAGTGACTAACAGAACCAACCTTAAAACACTTTTTAAACTCACTGAACTGCAATTTATTTGGCTTGCAGATCTTGAAAACTTTGCCAGTTCTACTGAACATCCAACATGCAAAATAGCAGTCATTAAAAATTCAACTTTGGAATTTTTAAAGTGTCAATCAGATTTACAAGTTAGACAGGTTTGAAATTTTTTTATCTTGAGGCACTTTAGAGTTTTTCCAAGCATAAATATTCTGATCAGAACATATGGGGAAATGTTTTTTTCTATATTCCAGAACATAAAAAAAAAAAAAAAATAAGATCAACTTAGGTAAGTCATATCTTCCGAAACAATTAATTTTTGAGCTGAGGTAAAACATAGGTAATTCCAGACCAGAAGGACTTTGTTACTCAAATTTGTTGTTAGACTAGAACAAGATTTCAAATAGAACTATATTCACCACAATAATTTATGGACTTAATTCTGCAAGGTGCTGAGCACTTTGGTCTTGATTTTAATTTAAGTATGTGAATAGTCCCAGTGAAATCAAGAGGACTACTCATATGTTTAAGTAAGCGCTTTGCAAGAGGAAGCTCCATATTCTTGGAACTCAGAGGCACAGCAAGAACTCAGTATTCTACAAAAAAGTTAACCAGTGTGTGTGTGTGTGTGTGTTCGCATTTGTATATTTTCTATGGGCCAGCTGTCACATGGGATTTGACAATTAATTTTCCATTCTTCTGAAGCTCAAAATTCTCATCCTCACATGAAAGCTCTGAAAGGAGAACTTTTCAAAAAGCAAAACAAAACAAAGCAACAACAAAGAAGCGACAATGCCCATGACTTACATAAACATTGATATTTAGACAAATGGGTGATCAGTACAATCTTACCAGGTTAAGAGAGTCATGCAGCAGATTTTTGGATCTACAACTCAGACCCTGACTATTTAAATTAGGAACTGTACATCAATAAATTAAAGCATTTCACGAATAATACTTGTGAAACTTAACACACTTTCTTAAATAATTATAAAATAAGATGATACTTAGCTATCTTGAGCTTTTAACAATACATAGTACATTTATAATATTTATAAATAAATTATCACAATTACAAACACTGAATTATATGTGTACAATACTAATTTAGCCCAAAGAGACATACAGACTTTAAAAGTATTACTGAAACCAATTTAATTTCTTGCAACCGGGTGAAGTCTTAAACTTTTTGTTCTGCGGGAATATATTCAACTGAAGGGCACATCTTCAGTAAGTGTCACTATGTCAAAGTACAAAAGACTGGATTCATCAGAGTAAATAAGTTACTTTTTCGATGTCTTCATTAATTAATTTTGTTTTATAAGGAAAGTTACAGAATGTATTGTTGAAACACTTAATGTAAATAAGGAGTTATTTTCCTTTCCAACAGGGCTTTGGAGCGGAGCGTGGAGCTGGTGCGCGGAGCAGCTCCGGAGCAGTGGAGCTGCAGGTTTTTGCCTGGAACTGGAGCGGAGCTCCAAAGCCCTGTTTCTAAAAGAGATTTTTTCCACTTAATCCTCTCCAGCAATTGTTTAAAACTAGATAGAAGAAGTGGATTTTAATGAAGAGAAAATAAATACACTTGATTCCTTTGGAATAAATTACTAAATCGGGTCTGAAAAGCAAAAATGTTATGATGTCAGCACCAACTCTTATTATTTAAAGTTGAAGTCTCCCTCCACAGGTAAGAGAAAGAGGTGTACCGTCCAGTGAGAGAAAGAAATAATAATAGTATGAAGTGCCCTGTGCAACAAACCGTAAGAAAGACTGAAGACTGTGAACATGCCCTTTAGGCATCAATTTTAAAGCGGAGTCTTTACTAGACAAGAGATCTGTTGCTGACAAGGGTTTTCAGAAGGGAGTCCCCCGAACCAGTGTAGACAAAGGTGTAATTGTGTGCACAGATGGAACCATTTTCAACACCGTTACGGGATGTCAGGATTATTCAGAGTCACACAACTAAAAGTCTGCACAGAAAATGTGCTAGAATTATTTGAGAGTGTAATGCATTCTGTCACTGTGCTAAAAGTGGCCCATTTATACTCTCAGTTAAACACCAAACATGCCTGATAACCCTTGTCAGCAATGGATTCATTTGTAGTGTAGACAGGACTATAGAGAAGTGAAAAAATAAATCCCAGTCATTTACATACCATATTAGCAACTAAAGTAACCTATTCTTCAGATTTTTTTTTTGAACACAGAATTATTACTTTAAAAATCTAGTCCAGATAACTTGATAAAGTTTTGTACTTCCAATTTGAGACGTTATAGGTCCAATCCTGCTAACTCTTACATCAGTAAGGATTACCTATGTGAGTAAGTAGTCCTATTGTTTGCATAATTAGATCATATACTTCTCAATGTGATCTTTTTTGTAAAAATTAGGAAATTAAAATTTCTTTGTACACAATGCACTTGGAGAATACAAGCACAGCTTCTAATCCCAATAACTGAGTGCTAGGTTTGTAGCATAAATGTTTACTTCCAAATCAAGATAGTTGAGAACCTATCCTAATACTGCAGTATGGCATAAAACATACGCTTTTCCAAATACAGACCCATTTAGTAGCTGCCAGATAATCCAGATTACATAGTATATCATAAACCATTTAAAAAAAAAATGATTGAAGATTTAAATTCAGGGATATTACCCAAGACCTATTATAATTAAATCAGAACACTTTCTAAAGACTGGACACACCCTCCCCTCCCTCAGCGAGAGTATAAAGTAACCAGTGCAAATATCTGACAAACGCTTCCCTTCATTTAGATGCCAGGCCAGTGGTTCTAACCAGCCATCTGCTTCCACTGGCACTAGCAACTGATTTGCTCTCTCTTTATTACAGTCTTCAAAACTTGCCAATATGGTTGGCCAAAATGACACTTTTTCCCTGCAAAAATTAAACAGCAGACATTATTTTCACAATCTCGGGGATGGTGTGAAGGCATGACATGTTCTTAACAAACAAACTTTGGAATCTGGGACACATCTTCCAACCTGCTATGCATCCAAGTTATTTAAAAAAAAAGTTTGCTTTTTCCCCCCTTTGCATTAAGTTCCATCACATAACCTTTCCCACACTTTTCCCCTTTATTCCTGTGTTTTGTGTATCTGTAGACAAATCACAGCACTTCAGTAGCTTTTATGAATTATGGTGCTATGTTGGTCCTGCACACAGTCTTGATACATGAATCGTGCAAAATCTCAGAATAATTTTTAAGCCTTACATACAGGGGGTGTCCCCATATGACACTGACCCAGCCCAGAGAGTTCCCCTTTGATACTTTGCCCTTCCTTTTTCCAAAACTTTCAGGGGATGCCATCTTTCCTTTGGCAACACTGTGAAGGAGGCACTCCCCAGTCATACATGTAGGATAGCCTGAGCTTAACCTCCTCCTTGCAGAGCTTCCCTTCTTTGGCCAAAGTCTGATGCTTCTCTAACATGTCCTCAATGCTCTGCTTGTGAGTGACAATATACTTATTGTTGCAGCCCCGTGACTTGTATTCAGTGTCAAAACGTGGGTCATGCACCCTCTTCACATCAACAGGAGCCAGCCAAGCACCCAGAGACACATCTTCACTCTGCCACATGTTGAAATAGTCTTGGCTGAGTCGCAGGTAATGCACCAGGTCTGCAGAGAGCACATAGCCACCACCCAGGGCGTAAGGCAGGTAGTAGTCACATAGGAGCCAGGTGCTCTCTTTCCATTTGCCACCCGACTTCACTCGACCACGGCCAGAAAAGAAACCCCAGTAGAGACGACGTGGCTCCTTGGCCCTCAGCTCTTCCACGAGTACGTCCAGGCGTACAAAGGTGTCATCATCAGCCTTGAGGACAAAGCGGAAATCCAAGTGCAGATCAAGCCAGACATACATTGCCAGGACCTTGGCAGTCAGGTTCTCATAGGAATCACGAAGCTCAGGCAGCAACAGCAGGTCCCGGTGACGGCTCTGCTCCAACTCTAAGCTGTGAAGCTCCTCCCCAGCCAGGCTGCCTGTGCCTATCACGAAACGACACCAGATGTCGTCCTGAGGGGGCCGGCCAGCCATCGAGAGCCAGGTGCTGCGGATGATACTGCGGCGCTCCGTATACTTGGGGCCGCTGGCGATGAGGACAGCCAGGAAAGCCGTCTCCTCAGGGGGTAGCGGGGCTGCCTGTAGGGGCGGCCCGGCTCCCACTCCACCGCGGGGCGGCTGCGGTGCCTGGTTGTGGGGCAGACCCCGACCTGGCAAGGGCCTGAGGCTCTCTGAGGTGCACTTGGCCAGGTAGAGCAGGACCACAGCGAAGAGCGCCAGGCCACCCAGGCCCAGCGCTGTCTTGTGGCGGCACAGGAGTCTCAGCAGCTTCATTGTGGCAGGGAGAGACACCGACGCCTCCTCGGGGGCCGAGGCGAGAACCAGGCCCAAGGATACTATGGGCAGCCCCTTCTTAGGTCAGCACCAGGCCTGGCCCAACCCTCACACCTCCCTCCTCCTGGGCGGGCAGGACGAGGGCAGCGCAAACCTCAGCCCCCACAACGGATCCTGCCCCTCAGCACCTGGCACGGCCCTGAGAATTAGGTGGGAATCGCAGCAGCCACGCCCCCTTCCTGCAGAATGTCCTGGATGGAGACTGGCACGGGTAGCGGGCTGGGAGACTCTTCCTCTCCAAGCACAGTGAGGGCGCCACAAGTCCCCTCAGCAGCGGCTTCATGCCCTGGTCCCTCCACCTCTTTCTCTTCGTTCACGGAGCCGGGTCGGTAGAGCAGCTCCGTCGCTGCCAAGTCAGCGTTAGCAGCACCTGCTGCTGGGCCGGCTGCCCCTGTGCCAGGGGGAGACACTCGGACTGGGGGAGGGGCTGAGATCCTAGGGTGACCAGATGCAAGAATAAAATATTGGAACACATGGTTTGGGGGGGGGGGCAGATGGGCAGCG